GTACAGTAATACCCCGAACTTACGCGATAGGTGGGACCGAGCGATAACCGCGTAAGTCGAATTCGCGTAAGTCGGGGTATAATTTTGCATATAAATACATACAAATAACACAAAATAAATTGTAGCTATATGTCGAACACGTCCGAACATGTAAGCCGAACAATAGTGTGGGGGAAATGAGTAATTAAGAGTTGCGTGGCGCTCAAACAAAAGACGAATCGACGAGATTTGAAAATCGCGTAACTCCGGATTCGCGTAAGTCGGGGTATTACTGTACAGTATATTTTATGGGTGGTTCGTCTCGGATATGTTTGATCTCGATCCTCACCAGTGTAAGCTTCGCCTAACCCACGATAGGCTTGATGAAAGTCTTTTAGTTCCACGGGGAGAAAAGTTTTAAAAATATTATCACTGCTCTAACATGTATTACATTTAGTGAAATTCGACATACAAAAAACAAAGTTTTATAAAAAAAAGTAACCATAATTAATGTGTATTCAGGTAAAATAGAAATTTTCATACCTTGAATACTCTTCTTACCAAATTTGATGAATTTCGGCCGTTCGACAATGGTCCAGAAAGCCCGCGCGTGAGAAATGTTTAATTATGAATACTTGCAATTCATAATAAGATTATCTATTCCATGGAACAGATTATCTTAACCTGTAGGCGGAAAAGTCCTTATAAAAGATTCGACCAGGTTCACACAAGGAAGGTCGGGTAATAAGGACGAGTTCCGACATATTTAGGATAGTCCTTCCCCAAAACATTCCTGGAATTTTCTGATCAACCTGGGTTCGAACCCGGATCTTCCAGACCTTTATCTTTCGGCCATCGTATATATCGTATAACCATGTTATACATTAGGCCCTGTACACACTAGGCGTTTTTCAACGCCCGTTAAACGCGCGTTTAACGCCGAGCTAACGCGCATTAGCTCGGCGTTCGACGAGCGTTAGTTCGGCGTTTAGCACTGGCTCAGTTTGGAAATGGACGAGAAAGTAATTGATTGTGTGTGCTCCTCCATCATCGCTATAAGGCAGCAGATATATCTCAAAGCGCCTGTAAAGTGCCCGCAAAACGCGCGTTTTAACAAAAATCTATAAACGCGCGTTAAACGCGCGCTTGGCGTTTGAGTGTGTACGGCTACATAGAACTCTTGGTTCTTTAAAACGCGCGTTTAAAAGCGCGCGTTTAACGCGCGTTGAAAAACGCCTAGTGTGTACAGGGCCTTAATTACAAAAAAATAATCTATTGTTTTGTGAAACAATATAAAAAAACGATATAGTGTTTTCCTAAAAACACTACAGTATTTCTTACTTAGAGAATAGAATATAATGTGGATGAAATACATTGGAACACCGTTTATACTTTTCTGGAGACCATTATCATATATCCAGCCATCTATCATATGCATTATAGTTTGGCTTTCTTGTTTTATCACAATTAGGCCAGGAACACACATGCGTAAAATTCGGCGTAAAATCTAGCATAAAACAGAAAACGTAAAAATTTTTCTGAAATTTGGGCTGAAACAGAACTGAAAATAGAGTAGAGCATGTCTCTACTTTTTACGCCGAAAAATTTTTACGCCAAAATTCCTCCAATAAAGAGAAGTCTTTCCTGTGACGTCAAAGTAGACACGTGGTTTTTATTCTAACAATGGCGGCAATGAGGGTTTATCCTACAATTGTGACGGTCTGGAAAAGTAGAGGAGTTTATTTAATTCGTTCGACCACATCAGTATCATGTATAAAGACACTGTATTTAAAGCAATTAAAGCGTTTGTTTTATATAGTCTATTTTTTCCTGGTGGTAGTCTATGGAAACTTTTGCGCTATAGCCTAGATTGAATATGGTATTAGCTCTAATAAGACGATTTCGCTCAACTTAGTAACGTGGTTTACAGGTACCATGTTGTTGTTGACAAATCCCACACTCGAAGCGAAATCTGAGTCCAGAAGTAGATGGCGCGGTTTATTTTTAAATTAAAGTAAACGTATTTTAAGCGCGCCATAGCTAGGATTTAAAAGAAACGCACCCTATAATTTAGATGTCAATTTCTATGCCGGCTATCCCTTGACTAACGCGGTTAATTAATTAAAACTTCTGCAGCGTATATAAAGGAATTACCGCAATTAATTTCACACGTTAATTACTAGTAAATCCCGTAATAAACAAGGAATACCTGTAGTTTCAAAAAACTTTCTATAAAAATTTGATAGTATTAAAAAGGCCCTCTGCTTTCCTGTGGGTAACAAGAGAACCTTTTTAATTACTTATCGTGGGTTCGGTCAGGGTCTGGATCATTGACCAATACTTGCGAATTATGAAAGGCAGTATAATATACTAATATACCTTCAGCAAGCTGCTAAGTTGCCTTCCTTCTTATCAGATTCAATGAGGACGGCTGGAGTGATCGACTCCAGCGGAGCAATCCCAGGAATTTTTCAGGTGGTGATTTCTCGAAAAGACCATCACCTGAAAAATTCCTTGTGTTGCTTGCCCGGACTCGATTTCAGGTTCACCTGAGCGGTAGAAAGTCTTAACCACTTCAACTATCTGGCCTACAAAGAAACTCCAGATTTTATTAAAAGCCTTTATGTTTAATGGAAAATATGATTGGATACCCGAATTCAGCTACATTTAACCTTCCATTCACACGGTAAATTGGTTGGGCGAAAGTTTCATATGAATCGAACTCACGTAGATTATACTAATATTTATATGGGAAACAGATAATAGGTTCTGAATTTATATTTCTTTTATAAATCTATATAAAATAATCAATTTAATTTTATATTTGCTACATATCATTTTTGTATTCAAAACAGTCTTTAAAGCTTTATTAACATACAAACTTAATAAAATTTCATTTCTGTTAATTTATTAATTCTGTCTTCTTTGCTTGTCAATAAACAATTTTCTTCCGTCTTTTGCAGTTGCTGTTGGTCAGTGTTCAGTGGTTTTATCCACTCGGCCACTAGTGGGCCTTTTAAAAAAATGCTATAGAAAATAATAACGCAAATGAACAAACGTTCCATTAACTGGATAAACTTTTCGTATATTTAATAATACTAAAATCCTTCTAATACAATGAAATGTTTTACATTTCAATGTAATGAATCGACATGTCTCGTATTTTGACTGCATCTTGGTCAGACGACGCATCACCAAATCAAGTTGGTTGTGTTAAAGTCAGGTCACAATCTTTCTATTTTCTATTTCTCCAACTTTCTACAGTATTTCTCTGCAAGTATAATTACTTTTTAAGAACTGGTTTATCCTAATCCAGGGGTGGACAACAGTTTTTGCCCCCGGACCGAATTGGAAAGAAAACTTTTTTCACGGACCGAACTAAGGCTGCCCTAGGAAGATTTTGAGGTGGTGCGAGATCTCACTGTGGCTTCACCCCGCAAAGATTAAATTGTACATAGAGATTACAGATACATTTTTCACATTATCATGCTTTATCAACATTCTACGCTGTACTTAAGCAATCTGTAATGGAGGGTTAACTCTAAACGCACAGTAAGTTTTGACCTTTTTGTTTATTTTAAGCGTCAGAATTTTTCATCGAGCTATTCGGACTTCAGTAGCTAATATTGAAAGATTGATCGCGGGCCACAAATTCATTAGACGGGCCGGATCTGGCCCGCGGGCCTTGTGTCGGCCATGCTTGTCCTAATCTATTTTCCTGATTGATTGCTCTGAAAAACTCTTCTTGCTCAGAAAAATTGTTGAGACAGGCGCACAATTTCGAAGATCTTAATAAAAAAAATTATAACATCCAAAGAAAATGCTCTACCTAAGCCAAACATAATTCAAGGTATTTGTTTTGAAGTTTTCTGTAGCGTTTAAATATTTATATATTATTTAAATAGAGTGAAATTAAATTAGTAAAAAAGAGTATAATTAAACAAAATGGACATAAATTAACTTTTTACGATTTAAAATTGATATACAAATATAAATTATTTTATGTATACAAAGAAACTCTTGAATTTACTAATGGAATAATTTTTCTAAATATTTCGGACTGGTATTCCGCTTATCAGGCTCAAAACACACAATAGATCATATAAATCGAGCAATTATTTCAACCGACATAGTCACAATATCAGGCTGCAACTTTTAATCATATTTTTAATTTATTTAATTTAAAATATATGCTTTACACCTCAAATTAGTAGTAGCTTGCCCCTGTACATCGTACTTTTCCTTTAACAATACAAAGTCATGCCAACATCTATTAACTGCTATCAAGTGTAGTTTTGAATTGAAATAACGTGACTTCCGGTTTGCATCGGAAGTTCATATATAGTTAATCGGGGCCTCCTGCCCTTGAAATTTCCATATCTGGTCTCGTCCTCCGTCTATCTGACTCTGTTCTCGAGATTATGAAAAGACGGGCGTGCGGACAGCGACAGTAGAAATTTATAGGTCTTAATTTTTTTCAAATTGCAGCCCAATTAAATTTTTCACATTTTATCAATTTTGTTAAACCGAAATCATACTATTTCAGTACCGTGCAAATTTTCAGCTAAGTATAATTTACTAATACCGGTAGTTTCATTTAATGAAATATAATCATGACTACTGTACTGCTGTACTGTATTTGAAAAGCAAATAAAATACAAGCTTTGTTTTAATTTATATAAAATTAAAATTTTATTATGTACATTCCTAAACTTTAAGAAGTACAAAGTACAAAACAATGCATAATTAGCATGTATATAAAAACTTATAAAATGTGTATATATATATTTATTTTTCCATTTGACAACCATCTGTTTTAAAGACAAATTCAGATGATATATGATGTTTGAAAATATACAATGTAAAATACAAATAGTTGTTTTCACAATGAGCTATGATGAAAATTTAAATGATTGTTGTACACTTATAGGAAAAATAATTTATCTGTCAAATGAACGTTTGGTTCCTTATGAATATTTTGGCCTACTAAATATGCTAATTTGTGTGCATACTGTAAAAAAAAAAAAGAAAATCATAAGAATCATAAAAAACTTAAAACAGAAAAAATAATTAACAAATGCACTTTATAACTATATTATTATTAAATATATGGGGTCCATAAAAGAAATGTAGTGATTTTAATGTTGTCTATTTCCAATACAGTTTACTTCTGCCTATGTTAATATATACAATACACCATAATTTCTGTTTTGTATGTTCCCTGTTGTGGGGTATTGTTTCCTTTGGTTCTTGACAAATGTCTCAAAACGAAAATCGAGACATAGTAAGAGAAGGTGTTTTGTGTAATGCAATTTGCAAACTCTTGAGTTGGTATTCACTGTTAGATAAGAGGTCCATTGATGGTTTGATAAAGATCCATCCTATGAGAAAATTTGTCAGTGGTAATGACAGCTTCTAGATGTATACTGTTCATGCAAAAGCAAAAGTTTGAAGATATCAACATACTTCCAATGACAATGCTGACAGAGTCAGGCACTCCTTTCCAAGGAGCCCAAGGAAGTCAATAAGAAGATCCAATCACACAAATACTGAAAACAGAGTGAAGAGTTTTACACCAGTTGACAACAAAACTCTACAAGCTCCAGTTGCTTCAAGCAATATAACCCACTGACAAGACAGAGCCAATTTTTGCACAAACATGTAAAGTGAAATAGATGAAGAATTTTTCTACCTATCTCATGTCCAGCAATGACAATGTTCCATATCAATGGAAAGATAAACTGCCGTAATGTGCATATCTGGAACACACAACATTAATATGCTGTATTGGACATAAACAGTATTCACTAAAGGCTTTGTTCTGTGTCATTTCCAACATCAAAGTTAGTGTAACTCTTTCAGTTTTTGCCAAAAATACAATGACTAATACCATCTAACTCAACATGGAAAACTAGCTGTTCCCTGAATTATATGATGATTCTGCAAACTACATTTTCCAACAGGATGAAGACCTCATTGTCATCTAGAAGTTGAAGTTTCTTGAACTGCATTTCTTGAACTGCATTGAAATGCTTTCTCACATTGCTGGATTGGATGCTTTAGTGCCCATAATCTTCAGATTCTCCATGACTACCCAGGTTCCTAGACCTTGCACCATGGACTTATTCCTTGTGGCTATTTATTTGTAAAGATAACAGACTTGTATGCTACTACTGCTCAAAAATCTCAAGGAACTTTGTAACTATATCATTGCTGTTATGGCTGCAATCACAATGGATATGCTGCAGCTGCAATGAATCTGGGAGGAATTAAGAGTATTGCTAGATCTATATAATACCCAGAGAAGCATACATCAAGAGATTCTTAAAAGAAATAGGAAACTTTGACAATTTGCCTATCCATTGGTACACTTCATGGACTTGTATGTTTTTGAAATCACTAAATTCTTTTAGGGACACCCTTTACACACAAATACACACACTAAACAAGAAAACTGATTCCATACTGTATATGACTAATTAAAGAGAAAATTCAAATTGTTTTTTTAAAAGATTTGAATTTATATCTGATTTATTAAAAACCTTCAGAATACATTCAGAATACAAATATTCATACAAGCTTAAATTAGACTATGTTAATTTTATTCTCTGACATTATTAAAGCAAAGAACACAAACATATTCTATCCTATCTAAAGGAATTTTATTTTAAAATTTGAATATTTAAGTCTTTACATGAAAATACATAAAACTTGGCATCATAATTTTCAATAAACAAAAACTGTCTGATTATTTGATTTATTAATTCAAGTATGCTGAATATAGCCTGAACTAAACACAGAAAATGTTTCAGATTAGTCAATTTTAGTAACCATAATCAAGCAATTTTTGTTTATCAAGTATTTATACTTAATGAAAATTTTGGAATATACTTGATTTTGAACATATTAACAAAGTTTTAACAAATTTTTATAAATCACCTTATGTATGCTGAGCAATATTTATTTATATCATCACAAATGTTTTCAACCTAAATTCTATAGATCATCATCAGGTATAGTATTATATTCCTGGATACAGAAATATACCTGATGACAACATAAAATTTGCCAAGAAATATAATTAAGTGTTTCTCAGTAACATAAGATAGCAATTATGAAAATTTGCTATTTTTCACTGCTGAGTCTAACTTTGTCAAAGTTTTAAGAAATAAAAATGTTTTTGAAAACAGTTTTCTATTATAGGTAAAAATGAAGAAGTTTGTAATAATTGAATTTATACAATTTTGACATTGTCAAAAAGTAAATACAATGAAATCTGTCTGTAACAGACACTTGCAGGACAAAAATACTGTGACCAAAAGAGGTTTTTGTATTATCTTTAAATGTACACTAAATTATTTTTACTTATAAACATAAAATACACTTCTATGCAAAAAATAGCAATACATTATAGCAAGTGATGAATTATCATAAGAAATCAGTGTTATTTCTTAAAAATTCAGTTAAGTATGTATGTTTTTTACAGTTGACTGAAGCAATATGCTTTCCCACTAAACATAATTAAATCTTATGCTTACTTTGTACTGTCTGCATCCTTTCTATTAAAGAAAAACCAAGGCTGGGAAATTGGTGTCAGATGGAACTGGTAGTTTAAGGATTTGGTGTCTATGTTGGCAAAAAATTTTACCAATTAACTCCTTAACTGATTCTGTTTTGTGATTATTTTTAGTTTTCTCCAGTTGTTATAGAATACAACATGATTGCTGAATCTGTTTACACATCTCTATATTTGTGACGAATTAGGGAAAAAATAAAGGTAAAAGTAGGTACTTTATTAAATATAATATTTATTTAATAACAATTTTACAATAGCATTTCCTTGAATACAAATGAAATTAGTTGCTCCAAATTTAATGTGTAGAGTATTAGAAAAATACTGTTGCAAGGCAAAGAGGGTATCTTAGCATCTTGAAATTAATACTTTATGTAATTCAGAATATTTACCCCATTTGAAACATAACAATTATGGTATAACTCTTTTACTCTAAGATTTCTATCCTTTAAATGTTATGAAATGCAAACAATTTTCTTTATGTATATGCAACTGACTGTTTTATAATCAACCTTATACTAATTTAAATTCAAATTACACCACTTCTTAATATACAGTGTTGCTATAGTATGCTATTTTTGTAAAATGGATTGTTCTTAATTTGACTTAATTTGTCCAGTTTTCAATATTTAGTCAAACCTGTCTATAATAGAACACGAAGTGACCTAACAGCTCTTCCATAGTAGACAGGTTTCTGCTATATACAGGGTCTGTTATAGACAGGTTTGACTGTAATTTATAAAAATTATCTATAACAATTAGTGTATTAATTATACATAGGTTATACTGAAGAGATTATTGGGCTGCAATTTTCAAATTGAACACCTATATGTTCCCACTCTCATCTGTTGGCCGTTTGTGGACAGACATACAGATAGACAGACAGGCAGACAGATGGATGGACGAATAGACAGACAGATAGGGGACATGGGAACATGTAGGTCTAGCAATTTGAAAATTGTAACCCAATCATGGTTTGCTGTTTACCGAGAGGCTATTAGTCATCAGTTTAGCCATTCATTATTAGTCATGATTGAAAAATTATTCCACTAATACACAATTTAATTCAGAGACTAATATTAAAATATCATTAATGGCTAATGACTACATTAGTCATGACTAATTTAGTCAATTTCAATCATAATTGAAAATTTAGTCAACTAATGCCCAACACTATCACCAGAATCACTTTCTTAAATCATAGAATGTGACTAAAGGATAGTATCTTGGCTTGTGACACAATTGAGACGTTAGAATCTGTGTTGACATTATGGTTTGTAGTGATGGTTTCCTGTTTCATTCATGAGACTCTGTGCTGGCTCTATATCATTTGCTGCAAATTGTAAGCATTTTCAATGCTGAAAGAAAATCTGACTTTGAAGAAACAAATCTAAATAATTGAATGCAGTATATAAAAGAATTCTGTATATAAAAGGAACAGATTAATGCCATTTCTTAAAGAAAATATCAAAAAACTAATTATATTTTTTGGTCCAATGGAGCACCTGCACACTATGCTAGAGAAACAATTAATAAATATGGTAAACAAAAATGAAAATCCATCTAATATATATCAATTCAGCCTTAGTTCTTTTGGACATATCTTAGGAAATTTTCAGAATTATTATCTAGAGCTAGAGATTGAAATTGAATATATGTGAAGATCATTCACATATAGTTAAATTCAATCAATCAATATTATGCTTCTATCAAGCGAGATATAGCTGTCAAATGATACAGAAGCTCTTACTTGATAGAAAGTTTGACAGAATTTTGGTTCCACATATAAACTGAATATGATAAACTTATTCTCTTAGCTCTGAAATAGCCATCATCATTCCCAACAGTACATTTGTGAGATTAAATTTTTGGCATATGTTGGGGCTGATAATAAAGAGCTATTAGCTTAATATGAAACCTGACTATAAGACTGAAGATATGTGCAATTTTAAAACAAACACTACTTTTCTGATTATTCAGTAAAAGTGCTGCATTCTTCACATTAACTACTAAATTTAATAATAAAAATATTTGCAAAATACAAAACTTTTGTTATAAAAAATACTAGTACAGTAGAGCCTCGATTATCCGACCCCCGATTAACCGACACCTCGGTTAACCAACCATCCTCTTCGGCAAATTTCAAATGTCCGCTAGTGATGTGGCGCTACAATATTTGACTCTGTCTTGGCTACTTTAATATTATTTTTATGTGTTTTAGCTAGCAACACTCATTCGACCATGAAAGGGAGCCAGTATTTAAATGAGGCTTAATTTTCTAATTTTTAACCATACAATAGCGACGATTATTATTTTAAAAAATTTTTCTTAGGCTTAACATCGATGAAAATTCAACGCAAAGTAGGTCAATAGTGATATACTAATTACATGGGATATAATAATATACTACACTAATAATGGATTTTTTCATACTTTTT